GGGGGCCGAAGCGCGGTGTAGTTTTTGATTTCGTCGGTCTGTTGGCACGGGCGCTGGACGGAGCAGCCGGGCTGGAGAAGCGCCTCAACTTCTGCGGCATCTCCGACTTCAAGGTGAGGTCATCCTGCCCAGGCGTGCTGAGCGGCTGTCTTACGAGGTGTTTCTGCCCCCAAAACGAGGGAAGGGGCAGCGGAAGGCGGCGTTAGGCTTTTTTTTTTTTTTTTTTTTTTTTTTTTTTTTCTGTGAAACATGTTTTTTTTTCCCTTTTTGTTTCCCCTTTTTGGGGTTTGGGTTTTTTTTTTTTTTTTTTTTCTTTTTTTTTTTCTCTGAGAACACTGTTTTCTTTCCCAGTGTGTGTCGCCATCATGTGACGGGGGAAATGAGTGAAGCTGAAACACAGCTCGGTACCCTAAGCCTACTGGTGCGTGAATTTGGCATTTCTGTACTCTGATTTCTCTATGCTGTGCTTTGATTCCAGTTAAGCGTGTATACTACCACACGGTCCAACATTGGTGCTGAGAGTAATATAGATCTGGTTTTGAATGTGGAGGACTTTGATATTGAGTCCAAATTTGAAAGGTAGGTATCCGAACTACGAGTTCTTCGTTTAATGCTGGAGTATGTATCCTAACTGGTAGTTACGTGTATGGAAGTATGCGTGAAGCAAGGTAGGCTGTTCGTGATAGTTGCGTCGAAAGAGTATAGTAGTTGTTCTTGAATTCTTTGTTTTGGGGTTAAAGTTATTTTTGCATGCTGTATAGGCTGTTCAGTTCACACTTACTTTCATAACACAATAACCATATTTTTTATGTTAAGGCAGGAAAATGTTGGTTGGATTTCAGCCTTAGAGTTGAGGACAAAGTGCTGCTGTTAATAAAAACAGTATTTTTCTCTTTATGTAAAGGTTCCTAGAATATTTCATGAATTAAACATTGGTAAAGTGCCTGTCTTGATGGAAATGGTGTGCTAAGTTCACCTGGCGCTGAGGAACAGGCTCTTAGACGAACTTTTCTTACGTTGAAAATCATCTCGTAGTTGGAAGAAACAAAGCTTGCAAAACAAAGCTATACTAGTAAATACAGAAATGCTTGTTTCTCTCCTGTAGATTTTGCAAATCTTGAATGCTGTCCTATGTTGTCTATCTTAATTTTCAGATTCCACTCTAAACATTCATCTTACTAGCTCTGCTAGATCAGCAACGTGCATATGACATGCTAAACTTAAGTATTGGTTAGTTTGGATCAGCGTACTGTTTTCAGCCATATAGACAAATGTTTTACAAAGCGTGCTTTGCTTATAATACTACAAATGACTTTTCATTGTGAAAATCTAAGTCAAAGTGCCTGGAAATGCTTCAGACTTTCCTCTAATAACCTGTCACCAGTCTCCTAGGTACATGATGTTTTGTTCTTAGTAGCCGTGGCTTCAGACCTGGAATAGAACTGGGAAGTCAGACCGTGTTCTCTTTACCTGTGTTTTAGTAACATGCTTTTCTATAACTGTTTCAGTGCTAATAATTGTAAAAGTAAACCTTCTTTTTCTGGTAGTTCAGGGTTTCGAGATCTTGTGAAGGCATGTTGGTGCTAAGATGGAGTAAGATTGTGCCCTTAGACAAATTTCTGAGTGTAACACTGCACTTTACGTGTGTGTCTATACAATTAGAATGATTAGAACTACTTGTTTGTGCTTCATATTTGCTCCCTCGCTTTTTTTTTGTTTGTTTAAAATAGTCACCTTATTCTTGACTCTGTTGTTGCAGAGTCTCCCAGGTTCTTTCACATTCTGTGTTTTCTATAATTAAAGAACATGTTGATCTGCAGTTTAGGTCATATTAAGCTTCATCTCTGACAGACCTGAAAATATAAGAATTGTTTTACTAATAGAGTCAGCTAAGCCATCGGAAGTATTCAGAGCAAAATAACCTGAGCAAATTTACAGGAATAGAGGAGGCATTATGCAAGGTTGCAAGTAGGATGATTTCTTGGCTAGCACAAGGGGAGTGACAAGTTTGGGGCTCCTGTCTAGAGTTCTGTGCTTGGCATGCCATGGCTGAGATGATGTTTTATTAATGCAAAGTTCTTAGCAAAACTTTGTGATTTTCTTTTTAAACTTTGTATCGTGTGTACAATCTGTGACACGTATTCAGCACACGGAAGGCTGTTTTCTGCAAGTGCTGTGATAATTTTGGCCCTGTGACCTGTTGGCAGGGGGAAAACAAGAAACTGATGATGCAGTCCTGTGTTATCTAGGGTAATAAAATATGAATTGGAGAAAGATTAAAGTATCAAGATAATAGTAAAACTTTGGAAATGCAATTATTGTGATACATACTGGAGTATATAAATTGATCCCATCTTTTTTTTTTTTTTTTTTTTTTTTTTTTTTCCCCCCTTTGTAGCTCCCTCCTGCCCTTCCCATTCTTCATTCATGTCCTTCTTTTTGGTTTGGTTGGTTTTTTTTTTTTTTTTCTGTGAATATATAATTTTCCCCTCTTTTTTTTTTTTTTTTTTTTTTTTAATGTCTCCAGCCTTTTTTTGCTTGCTTCCAGAACATCTTCAGTGATCCTTCTAGGGAATAGCTAAATATTTCAGTATGTCTTATGTCATCTTATTAATGTATTTCCTTTGTATTTTAGGACAGTGAATGTCTCTGTACCAAAGAAAACCCGAAATAATGGCACATTATATGCATATATATTTCTTCATCATGCTGGCATTTTGCCTTGGCATGACGGTAAGCAGGTGCATATAGTGAGCCCTCTGACCACATACATGGTCCCTAAACCAGAAGAGATTAATTTACTCACTGGAGAATCAGCCACACAGGTAGGTGGTGAATGACCAATGTCAAATTGCTTCTTTTCCTTTAGGATGTTCATACTTTGCACTTCAATTCAAGAGAATAAGATCATATCCTTTGACAAATGCTATGATGACTCACCGCGGGGAAAAATGTAGTGTTGTTTAATGAAATACTTGTGAATAGCTGTTGCGCCTCATATTAAGTGGAGCTTGAGAATTTCACTCTGTTGTTCTTTGGAACCCGAAATATACCTGTAGCCAGCAGTGCTGTTTCTAAATCCTGTCAGAATAAAGTTAGAAATGAGTTGAGGCTAGAGTCCAGCACTAAAAGTCAGAACAGATGGTGTTCATCCAAAGGAAAACAAGTAGAATGCCCTGGGGCTAAGCATGTACTGGAAGCTAAGGTCGTACTCAGTTTCAGCACTGCTTTAGACAGCATTTGGAAGCTCAGAAGTTCAAAACAAAGAGTCTGATCTTTTTACTCCCCAAAATTAATGTGGTTGATATCCACATCCTTTTGATTGGTTTGAAGTAATATCTGATTACTTCACAGTCCTTGTTTCAAAGTGGCTTTTTCTGACTAGTATCCACATTCCTAAGGCATTAAGATTAATTAGCTGAATATTCATTCTTAATGAACAAGGCTATGAATAGGCACTGAAGTTTTTCAGTGTCACATTATGGTGGGCCTTTACAATCCATTCTGCCATATTTGAGCAAAATACTTGATCTGGTCAAAATTAAGGTAAAGTGTTTCTTACTGGGCTTCTGTTTTGTGATATAGTTAATGACTTCATAGTTTCTGTGAGTTAGAGTATTATCCTATTCAAAATTCTGTATTGTTTAACAGTATGTATGTTTATTGTATTTTTTAAAGCAAATTGAAGCAGAAAAACAGACGAATGCTCTAGATGAACCTGTCTCTCACTGGAGGTCAAGATTAACCTTAAATGTCATGGTGGAAGATTTTGTGTTTGATGGATCATCCCTCCCTGCTGATGTTCACCGTTACATGAAGATGTAAGTCGATAACTTAATTTTGCTAGATTTGTTATTATAAACTTACTGCACATTTCTTCAAAAATCCTCTCTGGCCTCCCTTAGTATTTTATGTTTAAATTGGCGCTTAGGAGACACGAATAGATACTCTCAACGCTTGCCTTTCAGTAGTGACAATTAGTAATATATTATGTACTAGAAAACCTTATTGGAGATATCTTGTTCCTGGGCAGCTCAGAGTTTAGAATACTTTTTTGTATGGAGTTATCATAGTAAGACTAAGCAGAACTACAAAGACACAAGAAAAATGCTACAGCAGACTTCATACCCCCTTGTTCTCAAGTCATACTTCTGGCCTTTAAAGCAGTTACTGTCCCTTGACCTTTCTAGTTATCCTTCATCAGCAAATTATCTGTACAGACTGCAAGTGCTGAAGAAGCACAGCTGGTCTCCTGTGACATCTTTTTTCTCCCTCTATGATCGGCTTTATTTAACTTTGGCAATGTGTGTTCCTACATTATGTCATTTTCTCAAGAAAATACTAAAAAGCAGGGATAGGTTTTTAGGCCACTAAATGCAAGCAGTAGCTTCTGTTCACAGCTTGCTTAAATTACTTCCAGTGTTAACCATATAAATAGTGCTGTATTGGCTTGTGCTGCTGTATGTTGATGCCTTTTTCTACAAGTATCCTGTTAAATCCAGAAGTAGTTGCTTAATCAGCAGACCCTGGGGTTCTGGGATAGGTTCCCAGCCAGAATAGATAAACTTAGTAACTCATAAGATAGGCCCATAACAAGAAGAAGTTGGACTGGGGTTGATGAACGAGGATGTTTTTTCTGGTCGTGTTTAGATACGCATCAGTGCTGTTTTCTCATTGCGTTATACAGGAAATAGTCTGGATATGAAATAGCTTACTGCAGTTCCACTAGCGGTAGCTTTAATTGTAGTTGTTATATAGAAACCTAAACCTCTTCAGTTAAATAACGAAGCAGTATTTCTGAGCCTCAATTTAGTACTTTTCTATATTGGTATTGCCCATTGTATATTTAGTATGCAGTCTTTCTTAGCACGCATATAGACTTCTTTCTTTTAAGAACAACTAAAATTCAACTTTAAGGCTTTAAAAAGGTCCGTTGTGCTAGTTCCATAGACTTTTACTGAGAACATCACAGTGCATGTAGATAAATGCCTTTCTAGTGAAGAACTTTAAGAATTTGTCTCTCAGGGCTTTAGGCTAAATACTTTTCTAAGATTCTGATAAAGCAATTGCATATAGGTCATAATTTGCTAAATAACTTCCCTGTGATCAATTTTGTAGAGGGCTCAAAGGCTGGGAAGTTTCTATTGGTTTCATGCAGGTTGGTGATGTGGTAGAGCAATCCAAACGAGAGCTTCTGTTGAGGAGAAGGCAGAGATGATTTCTGCTCCTTGTGCACTCTCGCCAGGAGTATCTAGCCTTCCTGTGTGCATACCAGCCATCATGTTCATAGTCCCATGCTAGCTAGAGCACGTGCTGTTGCTGACCTGATAGATGTCATTGGGGGTGCAGAGGAGTCGGGGAGGTGGTGGAGGGTTCTCATTGTTGCGGTAGGAGAGGGATACTTGAGACAAAGGATGCAAATATATGGTAGTAAACTTCAGCACGTTTCTCTTCAACAAACTTTTTAATTTCCTCTACCCTTGGTCATGTAACAGCTTCAGCATCATCACAACCAATTTCATTTGTCCTTTTTTTTTTTTTTTTTTTTTTCAGTCTTTCTGCCAAAAAGTAAAAACAAACTAAAAGGAGAAATAAGACATGCCTAATTTTTTATACAGACATCTCTCAGTGAAAGACTCTAGGCTAGTGGCTTCTTCCTTGCTGTGTGTTAAAAGAAGATGTGCCTGAAAAGATGGTGGGAAATGTCTACATGGGTAGATCTGAAAGTGATGAATGAGTGCTAATTTGAATAAAAGTGGTTTTCTTTTTAGATCACTACAGTCATAAAATCCATGTTTAAACATCCTAGGGTTCAGTTGGGGAAGACAGTGCATTACCTTCCAATATTATTTATTGATCAGCTAAGCAACAGAGTGAAAGATTTGATGGTGAGTAATAGAATACCTTTAATTACATTTAACAGTTTTAACAGTAATCTTTGATGTTGTTTTAATTAAGATTTTGTCATAGGTTGTTTGCTGTAATGAAAAAGTATAAATTCAGAAAAGGACTCTATCAATGACTGTTTAACTTAATGTGGTCAACTGTGGTAACTGCAGAGGCTGGATCTGGGTTTTGAGACTCCCTCTGGCAGAAGTGTCTGCCAAGCCCTCCCTTCTATTCCACCAGAAGATACTTGGATTCCATTGCTTCTGCCTTTTGGGTGGATATGGAGGACATCGCTGCAGCACCAGCTGTGGTGGGAGCAGTCTCATAAGCAATTTGACTCCCTAAGCTGAAGGAGTTGTGTTAGCATCCCAGAGCGGCTTCTGATACCTTCTAGGGAAATGAGCATACTGAACACAGCTGATACTGGAGCTACACTGAGATAAGTCAGTAGCTATTCTATCTCCAAAAAATTCACTCGTGATTAAATTTTCTGGTGGTGCTCTCTATCATGTTAGAGTAACTTGAGCACCTGAAAGCTTGGTGTTGCAGTACATCCAATGATTCTGTGCACTCAAACAAATCAGAACTTAGAAACTTAAGTAATGGAATTACAGAAGGATGAAATTGGATGAGATTTCTGGAGACTGCTAGTCCAACGCCCCTGCTCAGAGCAGGGTCACCTAGAACAAGTTGCTCGGGACCTTCACCAGTTGGGTTTTGGATATATCCAAGGATGGAGATGCCATAGCCTCTCTGGGCAACCTGTTCTAGTGTTCAGTTGCCCCTGCACTTAAACAAAAAAAAAGGTGTTTTTTTTATACATTTAAATAGAATTTTCTGTATTCAGTTTTTGCTCAACTCTTCTCTTGTGGAAAATCATTCAGTTCTTTTACTACAAGTTACACATGGCAGTCCCCTGCATCTAAACCATGTTCATATTGGCAGCTCTTAGTTAAGCCCTGCAGTTCTTTTCAATTGCACTGACTGGAATTTAGCGATCGGAGTTACTGAGAACAAAAGTGTTGGGGAATGTCTCAAAACTGTTAAATCAGTATGCCTGGATTCAGCATCTTGTAGATGGAAGTCTTAGTAGATGTAAACTTTCCATAGACCTTCTAAATTATCTTTCCAATTCATTAACTTTAGCTCAGACAAAGAATTTTGTTACTTAATGTTGGGGAGAATCTTCTTTAAGAATTTGTATCCTCTCCACCCCAAGCTTGTTTGGCAAAATAAACTCCTGAGCATTTGTTACAAATCTTGGTAGCAGATGGTTTTGTCCAGTATTTCTTTAGATATACTTTCGTGATGTCTTTATCAATGGTCATTGTCCTTTAAGTTCCTTACCACAGCTCATTCAGTTCAGTACATTCATGAGAGCTTCTGACTGGTCAAGTCATGTACCCTGTTCACAAATAAACTCAGCATTCTCATGTTACTAGTAACATCCCTGCAGCTGTCATGCATGTCATGGTTAATGCTATTGTAACTCACTGCCTTAAAGTCGTTAAAGATCCTGAGCAGTGCTGCAAAGACTATTCCATCAAAACTAGCAAACTTCCCCTTCAGCACTGGCTTATGTGACTTCTCGGTAGTGAGTTGCCAAATTGCTCGCAAGCCCTGCAGAAACAGTGGTCTAATAGTATGCATACTGTGAGATAACGAGGGGTAAGTGAAGAGCAGGAAAGAATAAGGGAAGAAGGTGATACAGCTTTTGTGGAGCAAGGTTGGCGTTTGACTGTAAATAGGGGCATAGATGCTGTCTGTTTGGTATGCCCGACCTAAAGTCATGGAGCTGAAGATGCGTTTTCCCTGCTTAGGCTAGGCTGCGTAGACTTCGAACTGAGTATTATTTTGACCCAGATGTAGGTCTTCTGTGGTAAGTACCGTAGTCTAGAGGTTATGTGTTCCTCATGTTCTTAAACGTTCTTGTCAATGCTGGGGGTTTGGGGATTGCACAGGATTCTGAGTTAATAAAAAGAAAACTTTAAAATTCATACCACTGAACTTATTTGCTTTGTTTACACACTGTTTTGTAGTACTGATAAAGTAGAGTGCTAGAAGCAATATGTGATGTTCTGAGGCCATCCTACAAAAGTAGGTTGTATTGCAGAGGTTTGGTAACTTTTCAGAGGCTTAACAACCATTACACTCAACTAGGCTGTAAGGCAGCACTTGGGGACTTCTAATTGTTCATTGAGGAAGAGTTCATTCTTCCAGTCTTTATAGGTTCATTTAATTTGCTTTTGGTGTTGAAGAATTCCTTTCACTGTCTTGTATTGTAATCCGATTTTTCTCCCTGCGCTACCCCTAACTCCTTAGTAGCGCTTTGTCTATGTGAGTGCACTTGCTGCACGTTACTTACCCATGCATTTGCAAAATTTTTGTTTATCTGTCCTGCACAGGAAATTTTTCCTTTTCTCCCAGAAATGTTGATGCTATCTTTGATTGACTGAGAAATTGGAATGAGAATGGAGGGATTATAGGCATCCTTTAAAAAGGAGAAGCCGCCTGGAAGGTGTTCATGTAGCTTTTGGTAAACAGCTGTAGAATCTCGCCAGCATTCTCTACCGTCAGCTCTAACCACGTTGTTTTCATCCTGTTCTGTTTTTGGTTTTTTTTTTTTTCCAGACAGTTCAGGGATCCCTGGCACCATTCTAGTTTCTCAAGCTTTCTCCCTGCTGCATTTATAAAACTTTCTCAGCTCCCCTTTCTCTCCCTTGCACGCATGCGTGTTCTGCCACTGTCTGAAAAGCTTACAGGGTCTTGGGGGCTGGTGAGATCGAGAATTGTTTGTACACGCTGGAGGAAAGA